GTGCCTGTACACTCCCGCTGTCCTCACCTGGCCAACTTCATTCTTCTTCATCTCTCTTTGTTTCGTTTCTTCATTTCTCCATTTCCCTTTTGTATCACAGTTCACCTTTTCTTCTTTTCTGCCGCTGTGGTGGAGGAAGGGGGTTGTGAGGGCCTGTGGTGGAGGAAAGGGTTTGTGAGGGCCTGCTGTAACTGTGGTGGAGGAAAGGGTTTGTGAGGGCCTGCTGTAACTGTGGTGGAGGAAGGGGGTTGTGAGGGCCTGCTGTAGCTGTGGTGGAGGAAGGGGGTTGTGAGGGCCTGCTGTAGCTGTGGCGGAGGAAGGGGGTTGTGAGGGCCTGCTGTAGCTGTGGTGGAGGAAGGGGGTTGTGAGGGCCTGCTGTAACTGTGGCGGAGGAAGGGGGCTGTGAGGGCCTGCTGTAACTGTGGTGGAGGAAGGGGGTTGTGAGGGCCTGCTGTAACTGTGTTGGAGGAAGGGGGTTGTGAAGGCCTGCTGTAACGGTGGCGGAGGAAGGGGGTTGTGAGGGCCTGCTGTAGCTGTGGCAGAGCAAGGGGGTTGTGAGGGCCTGCTGTAGCTGTGGCGGAGGATGGAGGTTGTGAGGGCCTGCTGTAGCTGCGGTGGTGGCAGTGTGGTGGAACTGGATGTCCATTCCTTGAGGCCATCGTAGCTGCAGCTTTATTGAAGGCTTCAGCGTTTGGTGGGCCTGGTCCGTTCCTCCTGGCGGTGATGAGGCAGTTACAGCGGTGGCTATAGCGGTGGCAGCATGGTAGTTCCGATTCGTTCCTTGCGGCCATGGTGGAAATATGGTCGCTTTGTGCAGCAACAGAAGTGGCGATTGCTTGAGAGTCAGCAACTTGGTGGGTCCGATCTATTCCTCCTGCCTATGGTGGCGGTTCAGTGGCTTCAGTGTCGGCTTCAGCGGTGGCAGCATGGTGGGTCTGGTCTGGAAATCCTTGCTCTGGTGGCCTCAGGGCGTTTCAGTGGCAGCGTCCTGTAGCCACTCCATAAACCTCGGAGGTCTGGAGGGAACAAAAGATGAACTTTGTCCTAACTTTGTCTCAATTTTTTATTATAATTCTGAAATTAAAACAGTGCCAAATTGTGGCAATTTATACACATCTCACTGTATCTTCATAAATACAAGTGATAATAAATTGCTATTACGTTTTATCCCATTTTGGAAAATTACATTAGCAGACCATTGCCTGTCACATTAGTTCTGAATTGAAACTGAGCCCAATTTGATTATGGAGAAAGGGCAAAACACAAGTTCACAAGTTCTGTTAACATAATTTTGTTAAGGATATTTATTCAGTATCGTCAGGTGAAGTCAGCTACTGACCAAAATCCAAACGCCTTAATTTAGATCTGGGAACTTATTGGTGAACAAAAATAAATTTGAGCAGAATTAAATGCTGTTCCTTGAATTTCATCTAAGAAATAGAAATTAATACCACTATTAAAGTGGTGTTCAATATATTTAAGGAGGTATTGTTAAGGACTAAAATGTTGCTTCATTAATACATACAAATTTTTACATACACTTGTTTAAAAAAAAAATGTCAGTCTTGCTTAATGGGAGAGAAACATATAGCTTAATCTTACTGTTTTGGAGGGTTTTTCACTCCAAGGCACGGTGAGTTTTCTCTCTCTATCTTGCCAAACCCACCTCATTAATTCCTATTAACCTCCCCTATGGCATTTCTCACATTTGATCTCTGTCCCATCTTAACACACCCTATTCCTGAACAACTCGCAACTCTATGCTCAAAGACTGGCATGTCTTGCACACATGCTGCCTTGAAGACAGCCCTGTGCACCTGGATGAGCACTGGCAAACCGAAATTGCCCACTCATAAAAACATAAGAACATAAGAACTAGGGGCAGGAGTAGGCCATCTGGCCCCTCGAGCCTGCCCCGCCATTTAATAAGATCATGGCTGATCTTTTTGAGACTCAGCTCCACTTACCCGCCCACTCACCGTAACCCTTAATTCCTTTAATGTTCAAAAATTTATCTAGCCTTGCCTTAAAAACATTCAGCGAGGTAGCTTCAACCGCTTCACTGGGCAGGGAATTCCACAGATTCACAACCCTTTGGGTGAAGAAGTTCCTCCTGACCTCAGTCCTACATCTGCTTCCCTTTATTTTGAGGTGATGCCCTCTAGTCCTAGTTTCACCTGCTAGCGGAAACAACCTCCCTGCCTCCACTTTATTCCCTTCATAATCTTATATGTTTCTATAAGATCTCCCCTCATTCTTCTGAATTCCAATGAGTATAAGCCCAGTCTACACAGTCTCTCCTCATAATCCAACCCTCTCAACTCTGGAATCAACCGAGTGAATCTCCTCTGCACGCCCTCCAGTGCTAGTATATCTCTTCTCAAGTAAGGAGACCAAAACTGCACACAGTACTCCAGGTGTGGCCTCACCAGGACCCTATACAGCTGCAGCATAGCCTCCCTGTTTTTAAACTCCATCCCTCGAGCAATGGCAGACAAAATTCCATTTGCCTTTTTAATTACCTGCTGCACCTGCAATCCCACCTTCAGCGATTCATGCACAAGGACACCGAAGTCCTTCTGCACAGCAGCGTGCTGCAATTTTTTACCATTTAAAACATAGTCCATTTTGCTGTTATTCCTACCAAAATGGATGACCTCACACTTATCAACATTGTACTCCATCTGCCAGACCTTTGCCCACTCACTTAGACTATCTATATCCCTCTGCAGACTTTCAGTGTCTTCTGTACACTTTGCTCTACCACTCACTTTAGTGTCATCTGCAAATTTTGACACACCACACTTAGTCCCTGACTCCAAATCATCTATGTAAATTGTAAACAATTGCGGTCCCAACACTGATCCCTGAGGCACACCACTAGCCACTGACCGCCAACCAGAAAAACACCCATTTACCCCTACTCTTTGCTTTCTACTGGTCAACCAATCCTCTATCCATGCCAACACATTACCTGTAATTCTGTGCAACTTTATCTTATGTAGCAGCCTTTGGTGTGGCACCTTGTCAAATGCCTTCTGGAAATCCAGATACACCACATCCACAGGTTCCCCATTGTCCACCATGCAAGTAATGTCCTCAAAGAATTCCACCAAATTAGTTAAACATGACCTACCCTTCATGAACCCATGCTGGGTGCTCCCAATGAGACAATTTATATCCAGATGTCTTGCTATTTCTTCCTTAATGATGGATTCAAGCATTTTCCCCACTACCAAAGTTAAGCTAACTGGCCTATAGTTACCTGCTTTTTGTCTACTTCCTTTTTTAAACAGTGGCGTCACATTGGCTGTTTTCCAATCTGTGGGAACCACCCCAGAGTCCAGTGAATTTTGGTAAATAATTACTAGTGCATTTGCTATTTACCCCATCACCTCTTTTAGTACCCTGGGATGCATTTCATCAGGGCCAGGAGACTTGTCTTTAGCCCCATTAGCTTGCCCAGCACTGTCTCCTTAGTGATAATGCCCACTCATTGATAGACAGAGTGAGAACATAGCAGAGAAGGGAAAGATGGCACAGTGATTTATTGACAAGGACCTGGAGAATGGAGTGGTGTAAAGGAAAGTAATCATTTTCCTGGAGGTCATGCCACTTAGACCCCTGCCTGCCTGCTCTGAGGTTGTCACCTGGATCGGTACCATCTCCAGGTCGCTGAGGAATGACATTCTCCACCCTGCCAGGGTAAGCGCCCCACTCTACTTTCTGCTACCCCACACACTGCGGCTGCACCTACCTCCCACCAAGCCTCGTGCTCTGCCACTCTCACTGATGCCAGCAACATCTTCTCTCACCCACTCTCATTCCCCATCCTCCTCACCACTAACCTTCCATAGCCTCCGAGCTTCCTATTCACTTACTTGGGACACCTCATCACCTTCCCACTCTCCTGCTCTGGGATGGATAGCTTTGCCATCCACTTTCAACTTGCTCAATCCCTCCCTTTCTTTCATTCCAGGCGAAGACTGCCCAGAAGACTGACAAGGCCCAGATGGGTGGAGAGGTGCCTGACATTGGACTCCTTGGCCCCTATGAGCAGAGGGACCCAGGTCCTTGCAGGAGGAAAGAGGGGATGCTCTCCTGTGGGGATGCTGAGACATTCATATCCCAACATATAGGCAAATACTACCTTTCATTCCACTGTAAGTCTCACATTAACCCCGCTTTCAGTGTCATTCATTGTACACCCCTTCTAACCACTAGTTGTGATACGTTCTCTCTCTTCTGTCTCGCAGGTACTAGCAGGACATCAACCTGTTCCACAGGGTAATGGGTGTCTCCCCCAGAAGCAACCACATTGACCTCTGAGGATGAGAGCACTGAGGCCTCAGAAGAAGAATCAGCATGTCTTCCCCCTTCACCCTCCACCAGCTCAGACACTGACACAACGATGAGAATATTAGGTTTAGAAAGTGTGAGCCCACAATCTGGTGAGCAATCTCACAGTGGCAGCTCTGCAGCTGGCTGAGGAGAAAATACCCCAAGCCACTGGCACTCGGAGTTCTGCCTGAGACCAGGCCTCTGCTCAGGCCCAGGCAGGAGAGGACCCTGTATGTCACAAACAGGAAATTCAACCATATGTACAGAGATGAACAGCAGCAGCAGACAGGGAGGTGGGGGAGGCAATGACTCTTGTTGCCTAGAAGCTGCAACAGTGCAGAGGATCAAGTGATTGTCTCCCTCCATGGAGAGCCAGGCCTAATACCCTCAGGCGTTGGAGAAGCACACACACCTGAACTCCATCCGCCCAGCCATTGGTCCCCAGGTCCAAAGGCATGGCAACAGGGGAACCTCAAACACACTAGGTGCCCCTTCCTCACAAGAGTTAGGTGCTGAGCATGTTTGGTAAGATAGGAAGCTGAACATTAATGAAGCTGAAGGGGCACTGGACTCAAACCATTAACTCTGATTTACTGTCTGTGCATGCTGCATTAATTAATTAGGTGTTTAACAAGCTATAATCTTCCTTTTTTGGCAGCTCACTGCCGGTCAGCAAGAAATTGCCTTTCCACTTTGCTAGGGTATCGAAGACAGAGCGACGTGCTGCTGACATTAACACGAGTCTTGCTGAACTTGTCATCCGATTCTGCCGCAAATCTCACACCAGCCTTCCTCAGATTCCTGTAAAATTTCTGCCATAATCTTTTAGAATGCAAAAAGAAACTTCTTTGGCGACTTGTGTCTATGCGAGAACATTTGTTAGAAAATTTCGAAACTTATCCCATTGCCCTGTGCCTTCCCCATAGCCCATAGCCCTCAGTTAGCAGCAGCAAATGGATGAATTACTCATGTATTTGTCTTGCTCTTGTCGGTCCCTGCCATACATAATTTTGTTGCCATGGTTGCCTCAAAAATCAAAACTGACAAATACTTCAAATGTCATTCACTGTCTGGCAAGTGCATTGCAACATCCTCAGGATGTGAGAAGTATTACATAATTCTAAAACCTTTACGTTCAATCTCCTGATCCATTGCTGCATCTCCGGTAGTAGGGTATCTATGGTATAGCACCCAAGTTACAGAAAAAACTCCAACACCCACTTTATTACTTTCTTCCTTCTTCTTTGAGAATAAAGGAATGCCAAATGTATTCCATGAGGATGATCCTATTATTCATGACTGCAATAAATTTTGTCTCCCACATTACCCAATATGTAAAGGAGGATGTTATACAGGATGTAATAAACCACACACTGGCATATTTAATTCAGAGCTGTGAAAAGTTAATGATTTATGAATGCTGCCATGAATTCTTCCTTGTGAAGGAAATAAACCTAGTAGTGCATCACAGGCAGTGCAATATTCAATATTTAGATGATTCTAAGTATTGAAATGTGGTGAAAATGTGGGAAAGATGTTCTGGTTTTAAAGATGAGTTTTCCTCAGATGCTGTTAGAATCTTGTTCCAGTTATGAACTTGCAAGTTCTATTGTGTAAAAAATAGCTGTGTTTGCTAACATCAGCAAAAATCTAGCATGAGATGAAAGGAGAGCACAGTCTGTAAGTCATTGTGACAGATGTTAGCTTCCCTGTTGTTTTAATGGAGGCATCAATCGGTTTATTGTAAATGGTTAATGATTCTTGGGTAGTAGTGCACATCAGGCCATAGTGAATCAGAAGCCTCTTTTAGACCCTGTTCAATTCTCATGCCTGTTAAATAGTAGAGACAAATTTTAGACAAATGCATTTGTGTGTTCATATGACATCATTCATAGTAATATCCTAAAATAAAAGTTAAGTGAAAAGCATTACAAACAGAAGAGATAAATAACATTCTACAATGCATAAGTGGCAAATATCAGAACTTACACAAAATAGCTCATTTTTCTGCAGTTGATGTTGTTCAGTTTTAGTAGTTTAGTGGCCCTTGATGTCTAGCCTCATTGTAGAAAATGAATTTAAATGTGACATTAAATTGAATAATTTTATTTGTGGAGTAACAGCAATTTTGACACTAGAGTAAACAATATTTAGGAAATCTTTCCCATTTGTCCAGGGATGTTTTTATTAAATATTTGGTAGATCTATAAAGGTGCATATATAATGAGAATGATGTGGACTTTATTTTTTTGTTGGGTTAATTAACCTCAGTGAGGACAGCTACAATACAGAGTGGAAAAATCAGCTAATGTTCAAATCCTGACTTATGATTCACTGACCATGATTAAATAGTTTGCTGACACTCACTGTAGACTTATACATGAAAAATTGTCACATAGATGAGATTCTGCAGCTGCATTCAGTTAGTTCATGAGACCAGAGAATTTTCTATAAAGCAATGGCCTCAGAAATTTACTTCTCAGTTTCTTTTTCTGTTCACCCAGAAGATGCTGCCCACCTCCAAATACAGAAAATGGCAGCCATTTTCACCAGAAACATTGTGTCCCAGTACACAAACACCATTCATCATGCAAAGGAAAGCTCTTAAAATGTTCTCAGTTAAATGATTGCACATGATTTTCACATCATCTGGATGGTGTAATATAATTTCCCTTTTTGTTGTGTAAATCTTCCAATGCCACAGTGGTTCCCTGATTAGGCTGGTTGATTCATGGATCTGTATTGGAAGTTGAATCAGCTCTGTACCTAGAAAGTGGATGTCCTATTATGTCTTTAGGGATAATGCTTCTGTTAGATAGTAGAGTTCATGTCACACAGAAATTGCACTCTGCTGGTTGACTTCCAGTTCTAAAGAACACTGCTGGTTTCTTTATACAACCTCAGCAAACCTATGGTATCAAGTGTCATCAGCTTCCTAAGCCAGGTAAGGTCAAATAACAATTAAATGCTCTAGGTATCAACATCTCTTCCAGAATGGCATAAAGTAAAATTTCAGGATCCTTTTGCGAATGTTACTTTTAGCCTGGGGTATTTCCTGCATTTAAGCTCTCCAATGTTGGTTACACAGAAGGAGGAATAGCTCTTCATTCTTTTAAGCCTACTCTGTAATTCAGTCAGAAAATATGTGTAAATTTTGCCTAGTTCCTCCCTTTCTTCATAGCCTGTAATTTCCTAACAGAACTTATTTATCTCTCTCTTGTGACTTTCAGAGTTCTAGATTAACACTACCCATTATATAAAAAAAGCATTTCTGATATTCCTCCAAAATCCCTCCAACTTCTAACCACAATCAAATTCAAGCCACCTTTGTGCAGCTTGTCTTTGTTGGAACTTAAAGGATTAACTATATTATTCATTGTTGGGAACTAAAATTCAAATAGGAGGTAAAAATGTATTTAAAACTGCAAAATATTGCAAAGAAAATGTCCTCGTTTTCCATGATTATGGATAATTACTCATTAAATACAGTGAAGCACAGCTAACTTGATACATCAATATTTTATAACATTAGGTTGTCTTTAAATATTTAATCCACCACTGTTCTTCCCAACAATAAGGAATAAATACACATTGAAACAGGAATAAGTTATTCAACCTTTGAGCCAGTTCTGTAATTCCAATGAAGCTTGGCTGATCTGTAGCTCAACTTACAAATCGATCAGCACTTTCTTCTGACATAGTGTAAAAGACTGTTTTCCCTTTACCTTGGTATTCTTGTGAACTTTTCTGGTGAATGTAAGATGAAAAGCTTCAACAAAATCTGTCTTTTTTTTAAGCATTATTTAAGTTCAGTACTACCAACCAATGCACAGACAACTAATGTTCTCACTCAGTTCTGACAACAGAAGGACCTTGTTCTTGTAATAAAAAAAAACCCTCTTTTTACTGAAGAATTCAGAACTTCAGGATTAAGGTGAATGACTAGCTGAAGAAAGCTCTCTGCTACAGCTAATAACCATTAACCTAATGTTTAAAAAAGAAACAGTAGAGGGCTAAAGAGAACCTTTAATTTTTCCTTGTTGACAGATATTGCGTATGGATAAACACTGTACTTTCAAGTAGCCCTGTAATTTAAAGTACCATAACTTTTCTTTTCACCCTCAATGTTGTCTTCAGAGTGCCCTTCATTCTTCATCCCTAGAGCAGAGCGCAAAGCAAGTAGAATATAGACTGAAAATTTCACTTCCTTTACCCTTCCTTTTCAAGAGGCTATGATCGTGTGAGATCTGGAGTTTATTCATTCAAAGTAGTTATTCCTTGGTTGCTCTTCACTGTTGCTATATTCCAGTCTTTGTGCATGTCACAGTCCAAAGATCATCCATGGTCAGAAACTGTCCTTCTAGTCCATCAATTTGTTGGCCCTCCCAGGGAAAGGCACAAGAGCTCATAAATCCTACATGTCCTCTAAGAACTGAGAACACTTGGAGATTAATCCCTTAGGCACAAAAGACTGATTGGGGTGGCATGAGGAGAGGGCAACTGGGGGGAGGTGGAATAAATGTTTTAAGTATTTATGGTTAAATGTTAGTGATCATAAGGGGTACAAAGAACCAAGAGGAGATGTGACATAAATGGAACTGTACCTTTACTCTGCGTATGGCTACTGAGTATGTGCAAAAGGAGCAATGCTGGGCCATATGGAACTGGAGCCTGATCCTAGGGGACATAACTTGTTACATTCCACTAATTATGGAATAATCACTTTGGGCGGAACAATATTAGCTATGATGAGAAATTTGCGAAACTTGAGTGAGATGTTGATAAACTTTGAAGCCAAAATGTCACAGTTTCCAGTCAAGTCCTGGGCATCGAGACATGATTCTTCATAGTGAGCACTGACAGGTCTATTAGCATGGATTATCACCCATTATCACTCTTATCAATATGCAGATTGCTATTTTTCCATCTACAAGATAGAAACGAGACTGAATAGAAACCAGAATTACTGACATGAAAGTCAAAGTGGCTAGCGGGTGACTCCAGCTCACTACTTTTTCCATCAGCCCTCCATCTTGACACCAACCTCTCAGGACTATTCTATGGGCAGCACCCACATATACCCATACCCACGGGTATTTGCATCCAGCACATAACAGCCTCTCCATATCATTACAGCACGTCTCCTATCCATTAACAGTATCTGACAGCACTTCAAAGCTGCACTTTGAAGCAAATGGACATTATTGCAATGCTGCTACATGGGTATGTTGTATTACAGGGACAGACACTCAGCTCCTGGATTGGACCAGGAGCATCTCAGCTTGCTCATCCTGAACTCTCAGCACTCTTTCAACTTGTGTCGACTTGTATGCTCACAGTATCCCAGCCTTACCTTACCTTTTGATGCTTTGCTCCCTCAGCTGAACCTTACAGGCTTGCAGTATGACTGTCTTCACTTGCCTTTTAGCACTGATACAAAGCCAGGCAATTTTACACAGTTGTCAGCAGTTATGAGTCAAGGAAGTGGGCATGGTGCTGCACAGCACTATGCTATGTTACTGCTACAGCTGTGCCATGTCAGCTATGTATGTGCCAAAGTCACCACATGTGCTTCAAGCAAACTGCCATGTTTCAAAGTCTTGATTTAAGTCCACATCTTTCAGTTAGCAGGTTCCAGCACAGTAAGTCAAAGGCAATCTCCAGTATCAGTCCAGGACTTGGGCACCGTCAGTTGTCTGCTCAGAGAGGTCAGAGTCAGGGGGTCGATGCACATACAGTGGGAGATTGGGATATGGTTAGCTCTTAGATGCAGCATAAACAGTCAGGAAAGTCATAGAAACATAGTGGAGGAAATGTACAGAAATCGTTCAGGGGTCTGGTCACTCGTTGTTCAGAGCTCTCCAGCTAAATCACTCAAAGCTGTGGGCCATGGCCAGCTGTGACAGTTGTGCTGCTGAGGTAGTTGCTAGTTGCCACCACTGGGGGAGGGAAGCTAGAGGAATTAGTTAGGTAATTGGTGTGAGAACATTGGGATGCAGAGATGCTTGTAATAGTCAAGTTGAGGCTATGCAGTATGTAAGAATCACCAAATTATTACTGTGCAGAAGGAGCCAATTCAGCCCAAGCCTGCACTGGTTTTATTACCTTGTGCAAATTTCCTGCCTTTTCTCCTGCTCACTATTTCTATCCAAATAACCATCTAATGCTTTCTTGAATGCCTCAAATGAACATGCCTCCACTAAATTTCCAGGCAGTGCATTCCATACCCAAAAGACTTACTGCGTGAAAAAAGTTCGTTCTCACATCATCCTTGCTTCTTTTGCATGTCACTTCAAATCTTTCATTTTTTTTCAGGGTCAGCTGTACCCTTGTCACCTTGCTGCTGGTGCTGAACCCCAGTAGCCAGAAAAATGGAGTGCAGGTCTGTGTGCATTTCCTGCCAATTCTGCTGGACCTGTCTCTCCATGGCATCCACCAACCTGTCCATACAGGCAGCCTGATACTTGTATATCTGAGAGATAGCAGGGTCCAGAGCTCGCTGCTGCATTCCTGCAACCTTTGTGTCAACTTGCCAAGTGACCCTGGAAAATCTGTCTGCTGCTCCTGTGTCTGTTTGAGCAGGTCGATGAAGTCATGAATAGCTGACACCATGGGGTCCTCTCTGCTTGGGGTGGGAAGGCGATTGATTTCTGGCTATCCTCTGGCTGCTAGTGATGTGGTGTATTACTTACACGGTCAGCTATTGAGATGTAGCAGTGATGGGTTCACCAGCAGGTGCTCCAGGCTCTAACTAGAATACCACTGAAGGGTCAGTATTTGAGCTGGTGGAAGCTGCAGGAGACAGATTTACCAGCTCTTCCTCTGAGGCATCAATGCTTTCTTCTTCATTGTGGAGACAGGGTTGTATTGCAGCACTGGCCCCTTGAATGCCAAGATTGTGGAAAATCCATTGGCACCTCCAAGAGACAAAAAGTGAGAATGTGCCCCATGACATTATTTCCAAGATGAACAAAGGAATTAACCCCAGTTTGCCAATATTTTTCTCCAGTTCAGCATCACACAGATTGCCTAGTTACTTCCATTGTTTTAAGAACATAAGAACCAGGAGCAGGAGTAGGCCATCCGGCCCCTCGAGCCTGCCCCGCCATTTAATAAGATCATGGCTGATCTTTTTGAGACTCAGCTCCACTTACCTGCCCACTCACCATAACCCTTAATTCCTTTACTGTTCAAAAATTTATCTAGCCTTGCCTTAAACACATTCAGCGAGGAAGCTTCAACCGCTTCACTGGGCAGGGAATTCCACAGATTCACAACCCTTTGGGTGAAGAAGTTCCTCCTGACCTCAGTCCTACATCTGCTTCCCTTTATTTTGAGGTGATGCCCTCAAGTCCGAGTTTCACCTGCTAGTGGAAACAACCTCCCTGCCTCCCTGCTTTTGTTTTAAGCTGTTTGCTGAGCATAAGTTAGCCACTGATCTTCCTATATTACAACAGTAACTATACCTCAAAAATACCTTGTTGCCTATAAAGCAATTTCGGGCATTAATGACTGTAACGATGGCCCCATTCACTAATTATGATACCGGTGGCAACTCTGCTATGTCCACATCCAGGATGCCGATAGAATTAAATGCCTATCCAGTAGCTTTCTGCCCGCTGCCACGATGCCCATGCTTTTGAAGATGAAGTGTCTGATTTACTGGTCAATTAGAGGAACATCTCCTCTTCAGTCTCAGCAGCTCCATCGAGGGTGGTGACAATTGCTGGAAATGCAAGATGTCCAAAGCAGCAGTAACGATGGAGGCCCTAAGAAGGTGGTGAATACGGCCAACACACCAGAGCTAGTCAGGTAGACTCGAATGAGCAGGGGAGGGGATCATCGTGAA